CCACACCATTTTCTCGGGGATCTCGGACTCGCCAGACCATCTCGATGATTCGCTCATCGCGTCGTCATCGTGCTCGTGGTAGACAGTCTCGGCTTCGTCCGGTTCGACCTGATCAACGTCCTTCTTGAAGCTTACCTTCCCTGCAGGAGCCGATTGCTTCAGGACTATCGCGGGCATTGCGATGGCCCTCCTCGCAATGGCAGGCGCTGCGGCTTTGGCGGGTAGCCTTCGACTTGGCTTGCGCCTTGTCATTTGACGTTGCTGGAGCTGAATTGTTCTTGATGAGCTCGTGCCTGTACTTACAAGCGCTTCCTTTATCGCACTTCCCCTTCTGAAACGCGAAGCATGCTCCATCATCTCTCTTTGGTGACGATGATCTGGATTTGGATTTGCCCTTTCCTTTCCCCTTGGACATACTCTCCAACTTGTGCTCCGTCTTCTTGCTGTGGGAAAAAGTGCATTCATTCCCTTTCACGCACCCCTTCGCCGATTTGAAGTGGTACCAGCAGGGGTTATCCTTGCTTCCGCCCGGACTCTTGCCTCTGTCGCTGGCACCGTCGGACTTGCCGTTCTTGCCAGCGTGGCCCTTTGCCTTGGCTTTTGGGAGCACAGGAGCGGCATCAGGTCCACCGGGTTTCCCCTTTCTGCCCTTGCCACCCTGGTTCTCCTGTTTGCCAGTTGCTGGAGCCGCATCCTTCCCGCCTGACTTCATCATCGACTTGACCGATTTCTCCTTCATGTCGAGCATCAGGTCTTCCCGATCTGCCTTGATCTGATAGTCGATCAACGCCAATAAGAATTCATACGTCTTCTGAGGATGCTTGTCCGGTAGTCTATGGTAGGCATTGAGGCCGAACTCCATCTTCTTGCTCCCTTTGATCTTCCTGTAAAGGATGTCTCTGAGAGCCAGCTTACTGGGTCTGTCCTCGCTCCTCATCTTCAGCAGCAAATCATACCATTTGTTCCTGAACATGACCAAGTTCTTGTCGCCAGGAAAGTCAAGGTTGAATAGATGCTCGATGTGGTAGACAAGATCCGTTCTATCGGAAGTTCTGAATGATTGCATAACTAATGCCACCAACTCTCGTCCCTTCACGATCACCCCTTGTTGATGTCGTAGTTCAGAGTGTCGTGTAGCATCGAGGTATACGTCCTTGGCTTCGTCAGGTGCTTGTTTCAGCATGTTCTGCATGCCCATGGCCATCTTAATATCTATCGTAGCGAATCTGTCGCCACCTGAATCGCTAAGCAAATCCAGGTCTGGGTTCAACCCAAGAGCCTGCTCCAGCCATTTCGTCCATGCGTCGGTATCTGGATCTGCACATGCGCTCAGAACATTCATCAGCAGTTGCATCTTCCAGGTGTCAAGTTGATGGATCTTTGGCCAGGCCGGAATAGATACTCTCTCGGCCTCTTTCCTCGAGATTCTCGGTCGATCATTCTTGATCTCTCGGTTATCTCTCGATCTCCTTCGTCTCCTCCGTGTCCGATCGTCTTCTTCCTCTTCTTCTTCCTCGTCTTCCTCATCTCCTTCGTCGTCGTCATCCTCATCCTCATCATCGGGTGGATCATCCGGAGGTCCTCCTCCGCCACCAGCGAGGCTCAACTGACGTCGACCCGCTCCCTGCCCATTCCCATTGGGCGGGAATCCACCGTAATCCAATGGGGGCGTAGTACCGTTGTTTCCCCCTCCATCACCACCACCAGTCGTAGTAGTGGATTGTGGGACATGCCCAACAACCCCTTGCATCTGGGATAGGTGTACATCGATCATTGGATCACCGAAAGACGGAAAGAGGATCGAACCTGGCATCAGCGACGAATTAGGGATTTGATTTGAAGACGATGACGGGATTAACCCAGCCACCTTCTTGTCTATCCTACTTGAATTAGCCTGGGTTCCTCCCTCAGCGCGTTTCACTACTGCTCGTTCACGATGTCCATCTTTGCTGCTGGAGGCTTCCTGCATCTCCAGCTTCTTGTGTGCACGTAGTTCCTCGTTGTCAGCATCGAGTTGGCGTACAAAACTCTCTTCTTGCTTGAGCGTCGCCTCTCTTTCTTTCAGTTGTCCCTGAAGCTCATGCATCTCCTCGAGGTACTCATCGTACATTCCCTTAGCTGTCAATCTCCAGTACTCAGCCTCCTTCGACTTCTCGTCCATCGTGCACCGTTCCTCTTGTTTCTCTTCTTTGACCTGGGCTAACTCCAAGATCGCATCCTGACGATGACCACCTTCGACAGCAATCATCTGGTCCTTCATCGACACGTCGGACTCATACTGTTTGACGATCTCTTCCTTTTCGCGAAGCAAGCAATCTGCTCTCTTCGATTCCTGTTCCGCAAATACTGTAACGTCATTCAGCCTCGCCATCAGCTGTTCCCTGGAGTCCTCCAAAGAGTACGTCTCGGGGCGCTTGACGAGTGCATGCTCCAACTGTGATTTCAGACTTTGGACCATCTCCTCCTCGTTGAACTTCTCGATAGATGTAGAAGATTCTATGCCTCTGATCTGTTGCTGATAAACTGATATCTGTTGTGAAGCCTCACGGTGTATCTGATTTGCACGTATAGCTGATTCCTGCGCGGCCGACTTCTCGCTTGCCATGTAGGATTTCATCAATGCAATCTCCCGCTTCTGCTCCATGATAGTTCCTTCAGCTTGCCTCATCTGTTGCATTATAATATTCGACTCCATGTCTTTCTTCTCCCCGTACTGAAATGCGTTCATTTCCACCTTGCGCATCTGTTGGGCTTCTTCCTCAAACTTGCGCCATGCCTCAGCCATGTGGTGTTGGTGGTGACTCACTAGATGTCCCGACTGCTTGCTGGCAATCTCGCATCGTCTTTCCAGCTCCTGGATCCGGATGGTGCTTCCATAGTCTTCTTGGTTAAGATTCGCCATTGCTGCCGACATCTCATCAAGTGTCTTCTGATATTCCCCGATCTCCACCTCCATCTTATTCTTCTCTTTGATCACGGCGCGAAAATCTGCACTGGTGGGTGATTTTGACCTCCCACCCTTCGATGTCGATCTCACGCCCTTCTGCGACGTCCGTGGTGTCGCAGGCGAAGATGATGATCTTCTCGGTGGGGATTCTCTTTTCTTCGACTCCTGATGAACATCGATCTGCTTCCATGATCTTGTGGGAGTAGATATGTCGCTGAATAGCGCGGAACCTCCGCTCCCAGGTTCATCCTGTGAATCTGCAACCATATCCATCACCGCAGGAAGAGCCATCAATCCATTGGATCCCTCTGAGCTGCTGTTCCCAAAAGTTGCAGTACTTGGGCTCGCCGAAGACGCCATTGTACTGTGTGGGTTGTCGTTCCTTTATTGTCCCTGTACCCGCAATAAACCAGCTGTCTCCCAGTCCAGTGTAGAGCTTGCCGATACGGCTGATAACCTGTCAAGAGACGGCAAGGTGACGTCCCGTGGGACGCTGTGCACCGAACCCTCAAGCTTTAATACCAACCACGTAGAAAGGTGTATACGGACGATGCCGTTATAGCCGAACCCGTGTAAACGTTGTAAGGAAGAAGGAATGATAATCACAGCAGTAGTCCTGACACTGCGGCGCAAGCAGTTGTTTTGCTCTTGATGCCAATCACGAAGATCCGCAGTCACACATCAGATCTTGAACCTCAAATGTGTCTTGAGCCTTGAGCCAAATGGCGATCAATGGAACTTGGGAAGCAACACCAACAAGGACCTCAGAACTGCTACCCAATTTCGGCACGGGGCCTAGAGGGTTTTAACAAGAGGTGAGTGGCTCAGAGCTTGGATTGAGCACACCTCAGCCTTGTGGAGAGAGAGGCTGATGAAGCTCTTCCAACACTTAGCCAAGGAGAGGGCTGTCATTGAGAAAGAGCTTGCGCAGCAAAGAAAAACCATTGAGAAGCAGGAGGCTAAGCAGCTGGAAAACAAGGCAGCAGCTGAGGCCAGGCTGGAGCAGATAAAGAACAAATCCTCAGCAGCAGCTGAGGCAGCCAAATTAGCAATCAAGAAAAACTCTGAGCGCTTCACTTGGCAGGATCTCTCAGCCACAGCAACCAACAAGATCAAGTCACTTGAGCACTCCATCTGCATTTGCTCTAAGTGCAGGTGGCAATCTGGCTGTGCTGAGTGCGACCCCTGGAAGGCTCTGAGGTATCTGGTTGTTCAGGAGGCAAAGGCTGCTAAGAAGATCCCCTTTTCAGGACTGTGGGCAGTTTAGAAAGACTGAGATTTGATACTGAGACTGCGCAGGACCAGAAGATGTGGCCAAGCTTCTGAGCAAGGCTAGCTCAGAACCAGCCTCCAGCTCAACAGGAGCTACCAAGGCTTAGAAACCCCTTTTCAGGACTGTGGGCAGTTTAGAAAGACTGAGATTTGATACTGAGACTGCGCAGGACCAGAAGATGTGGCCAAGCTTCTGAGCAAGGCTAGCTCAGAACCAGCCTCCAGCTCAACAGGAGCTACCAAGGCTTAGCAAGTTTAGCCTCAGCCCGAGCAAATCCAGAAAGCGAAGAAAACAGCTGTGCGTTTTTTTTAAGATTTTTCTGGGGGGGCAAAAAAACTTGCCACAATAGCGAACCGTTAAAACAGTCACAGGATTCTGAATTAGGAAACAATTTTCTACAATAGCGACCACTAATAATAAAGGAGGTCCAACATTAAGCAAACCAGACATTGCAGCAGGCATTCGGGATGCTTGGCATCGCAAAAACTCAAACAAAACAACCACCTGCAAGCAATCGTGGGCAGCTCTGTGTTGCGCTGAGGCGTGGCATGTTTGGAGAAGCAGCATTGGAGATGCCAGCTCAGCTTATCCCAGGGGTGAGAGGTGGCATTTGCATGACATAACCGACTCACCAAATGCGAACTCTTAAATCTGCACGCCGTCACTCATGCCATGTCTGCACATATGTTTCTACCAAGGCGAAGCTTTGTAATCTCAGGGGTCGGCAAGACAGAAATCGGAAGGGCAATGTTCTGCCAATAGTCGTTCTGCTCTCCCCGCCTCTGTCCCCCTGCCGCCCGCCCAGTATGTGGTCCAGTTCCTCGCCCAACCTGCGCTTGACTCAATCTTGACTCACGTCTGCCGACTACCAAGGCCAGAGGGGGAGGCGTGTTATCAAAGTAAGTTTAGAAGAAACTTCCGTCGTACTGGAGCTAAGTGAAGGCTAGCTGTCGTTGAAAAGTAGATGAGAGTGGAAGGATGAGAGAAACGAAGAGAAGAGAAAAGCAGACAAGAAAAGAAGAAAAGAGGCAAAGAGAAAAGGAGAAAAGTGTTCAGATTGCGTGACAAGTGCAGCACTTTGGATGGAACGTGCTGACTCACTGACTGTGTGTTTCTTTTTTGCGTGTTCCGAAGAAGCGGAAACCACCCCTGGCGCGACGCCTGTGCCTCACAGGTGCGGAACGCGGAACGGACTCAGCGCCGGGCGCATTGGCTCGGACACGTGCGCTTTTCGCGACATGAGCTTGCGTAACAGGCGCATCACTTCGGCAACCTGAGGTACAGATTGCGTGGCAGGCGCAGCAATTTGTTCGATGTGGTTCGCAAATCCAACTGGCACGGACGAGCAACATGTCACGTGCCGATATCGTGACAGGCGCAGAACTTTTGCAAGGATTTTCGCAAGGATTCGTGGAAGGCGTGGCACTTTCGCGATTCCCTGACATGCGCAGCACTCTCGCAGGGTCAGGTACAAACCTCCTGGCTATTGCATCACTTTCACAAGAGAAGTAAATAGATAGATGGACATAGATAGATTAGACAGACAGACAGATAGACAGATTGACAGACAGACAGACAGACTGAGAGATAGACAGACAAGATGGATATAGATAGACAAGATACACAAGATAGATAGATAGATAGATAGATAGATAGATAGATAGATAGATAGATAGATAGATAGATAGATAGATAGATTAGATAGATAGATAGATAGATAGATAGATAGATAGATAGATAGATAAGATCGATAGGTACAGAGAGATAGACTAGGATAAGGTTGACTAGATAAAGAAACAAAGCCCAAGTGGATTGGTAAGCAAAGTATGATAGCAAACAGATAGGTAGATAGATAAACTGACTGATAGATAGACACATTGAAAGAGATAGATTAGGTTAGGTTAGGCTAGCTTAGGTTAGATGGATATATTGGTAGATAGGTAAACAGATTAGATAGATAGGCAGCAAGATAGCTGGATAACTAGACTAGAGAGATTCGACTATAATTGTTTAGAACAGGTAGGTTAACAAATATAAATTGAGAGTAGATAGACAGCAAGTGAGAATAGAATGATTGATTGATTGATTGATTGACTGACTCATTGATTGATTGATTGATTGATTGAATGATTGCTTGGTTGATTGACTGACTGACTGGTTGATTGATTGATTGATTGATTGATTGATTGATTGATTGGTTGGTCGGTTGATTGATTGAGTCATTCATTCGTTCATTCATTCATTCATTCAGTGATTCATTCATTCATTCATTCATTCATTCAGTCATTCATTCATTTCATTTCATTCATTCATTCATTGATTCATTGATTCATTGATTGATTGACACATAGATACATAGAGAACTAGATAGATATAATATGTACGTAGTTAAGCTGATTAGGAAGACACAAAATGATAGATATAGTATATACGTTCAAATGATATATGAATGGATAGACGGATAAAATGATAGCTAGATTGTGGATCAAATAGATAGAACGACAAAAAGAAAGACAGATTAAAACAGTGTCGATTTGGCAGAAAGTGAAATCTAAACAAATATTAGATAGCCAGCTAAATAGATACGTAAATCGATACATAAACAGATGACAAGGTAGATTGATTTGCTAGACAGATGCGTAGGCTAGACATAGATACACGGTTGGGTGCGCAGGCAAATACATAGATAGCTAGATAGGTAGATAGATAGATCGATTGCATACATATATATATACTTGAGGAGCGGGTGAACGAAAGCTAGCAGTTGTTGCATGAGATGGGTCGGTGACAGGGTGGATTCATAGGTAGCTTGTGTACAACGAGAGGCCCGGCAAGATTCGTAGGATGCGACACGCAAACGCACATGGTGGCGTGGCAAACCTTGAAAAATGAAAACAACGAGAGGCGTCAGAAGCTGTCTTAAAGCACCTCTGGGTTCTGCATGCTGCGTGTGCAAAGATTCTTGCGAGGTGGTTTACCGAGAAGACTGAGGTCTCAAATGAACAAGCTGAATCGGTGGAACATGTAAAAGTTCGTAGCCAAGTCGGGCAAACCGAGACTGCTGAACACTGAGCCACTGCCCGGGGGGGGGGATGGACCAGGGAGGAATCGAGCCTGAGACCGGGGGGGGGGGAGGGGGGGGGGGGTCTAAATAATTGATGTTTTTCAATCTTTTCGGCTCAAATAATTGAAAAAATCAATCTTTCGGCATTTGAGCCCCTTACCTTGCTTACGCAAGGAGAAACTTCAGCTAGCTGAAGCTAGCTTTCGTGATATACATATATATACACAGGGACAACTAGACATAGATAGACAGGTAGATAGATGGACAGATAGACAAAAAACAGTAGAGATATATCAAGAAAACAAAGTGGATATAAAGGAAATAAGAGAAACAACCACAGAAAGAGATAGTGAACGAGAAGGGAAAGCAACACAAAACAATGGGAATAACATAAAGATAAAAAGAGGCAGGTCACAATATTTTTCAGAAACAGAGGGCAAGGACAGAGAGCAAAGTCACTATAGTCCCTAAATGGTGAAAACATCGGACAGCCGGATCTGCCGGCTCTCCTGCCTGCCGAAGCCCAACTTCTTGTGTTGATATCCATGTGTGCGTTCGTATCAGTATATATATATACACATATATATATATATATGTGTGTGTGTTTATACCTATATATATATGTATGTGCATGTGCAAAATAGCTCGGTATATATACATACTAGATAAACCTACACCGTTCCAATACAAAAAAACACTGAGCAAACAGCTACCGACTTTCTGGCAAGGCGCTGGCGCTGAAACTCCCAGTCCAGAAGACGTCAGTGGAAAGAGTCGCCTTGCCACTGCGGGCAAAGAGCTAACACATCACCCTAAACTCGGCTATGATTCTACCGTATCGGGAAGGACACCCAGTCACATGTGCTCAGTCCCAATGCGTGCCAGTATGCTCTGCCCAGCAGCAAATGACACTTTGCAAGCCTTCGGCCACCGCCTGGACAACTCTCTCCCAGCTGTTGGCCGAAATCAAACAAGGCACCCCCAAGCTGATGGCCGGCGCAGATTGCGCGGCCGGAAGATGATGATACTGTTCCCGAAGGTGTTGCAAAGCCTGGAGGAAACCAAGGCAGCATGCGAGCAGCAGGCTCAGTCGAAGTGAAACAAATGCAGGCTGTCCTTGGACCTCTTTTTGTTGGTGCTTGAAGGGAGCCCTGAAGGAAAACCAACTTTTGGGGTGTCCTTCAGTTTTCTGACATCTACGCATGAGATGGTTGCTGGGGTTGCCCCTAGCAGCATTGTTGGGGGTGGCGTTTGGGGTCAACAGGCTGCTGGCACCAATAGGATGTGCCACCTGCTGATTTTCAGGGTATGTGCGACTCTCCATGCCCTGGCAAAGCACATGCTGCAGATAGAAGCGTCAGAATATTACGCACAAATAAACACACCGCAAAACACATGAGCATATGCAGAACCAACGAAGTCTCTCTAAATAAGTCAACGAATAGTAGTAAATGCAACAATACTGCATATGCGCCCACATATGTGGAGTGTATGGTGTCAAGGCTGTTAACGCAAGGTTAGCGTTGCTTTTTACGGGGATTCCTCTTTTCACTTCCACTGGCTTGCTTTTCAACCCCGGCTCATATTGTCCCGTGTCGCCAAACCATAGGAGCATCACAATTAGCGCGCGCCATGATCAGCATCACCATCACCATCACCACCACCAACACCACCACCATCATCATCACCATCACCACCACCACCACCACCACCATCACCACCATCACCACCATCACCACCATCACCATCACCACCACCACCACCACCAGCAGCAGCAGCACCACCACCACCACCACCACCACCGCCGCCACCGTCATCAGCATCAGCATCATCATCATCATCAGCAGCATCAGCATCATCATCATCAGCATCATCATCATCAGCAGCATCATCTTTGCGAATCTTCATGGGTACTTGAGGCAGCGCCTTCACTTCCACCGGCCCCCCCCCGATGCAACGGAAAGCGGACACAGGCCTCCGAGTCTGGCAACTGAATCGATTGCGTGAGCTTGTAGGCCCACCTTTGGCCACACGGGCTGTGCTGGTACTTGTCTTTCAGGTCGTGAAGGCAACGAGGTACCCTCTGGAACATTGGGGCTTATGGGATGGTTGGAGGGCAGGGAAGAAAACAAAGACATGAAACCGGCTCATGTGCACTAGAGCGTTGCATGATCACGTCTCCCAAGTCCCAGTCATTAAATTTGTGCCCCAAGCGTGCTGCTTGAATTCGCAAGATTTCCGGCGTTACTGGAACGCTGGGAAGCCAAAGACCAGTTGCTCCCATTGACACCCCCCGGCCTTTGTAAAACAGATCCGAGGCAAATCGGGGCTGTTCAAAAATGGCAGAGCTGCTTTCCCCGATTTGTCTTCTCGACCATCTTGACCTGAACTAGTCAGGCATCTGCCGCATTGTGGGGGGGTTGCATTTGCCTCAGTCTCAATGGGGCCCCTTCCCCAGCCCAAAGCCGGAATTCTTGTGCCCGCCAAATCCCTGCCATCGACAAAACCAGTTTATAGGCATCTCGAATATCTCAAATGGACCAGGTTACATGGTTCGTGTGGGGGGGGGCAAGGCACTTGGCCCAGCCTTCCGACACACACACACACACACACGGGGCAGGGAGTCCACCATAGACCAGTGATTCCAGAGATCTGTTGACCTGTTGGAAACCTGTGCCACTACCCGGACCTCCTGGAATTCCATTTTTGTTTCTTGGTTGCTGTTGCCCCCCCTGCAAAAAGTTTAACTTTTTTGGGGGTTTAACGGAAAACACATTTATTTCCCAAAAAGTTAAAGTCTAAAGATCCAACCCAATCCCATGGCTCCAATTTTCAGCAGCTTCGCCCTTTGTCCCCATGGCTTCCAAGGCGCTGCACGAGCCGCGGATTCAACGAGACGACCATCTGCTGCCTCTCCGCCTCCGAGGGCAAGGGCTGGCCGTAGGGCGCGGCCCGGTGCTGCGGCAGCCAGCCTGTAGGCCAGGCCTGAGGATTGCGGCTTGGGCTGAGGTGACTTGGGAGGATTGAACTGTAGGTTTGGATGGTTGGAATTGTTGGTTTGGATGGTTTGTTGGATGGTTTGGATGGTGGTAATCCTGTCCAATCATCGGTGGGGTACGTACGGATGGCTGGAATTGTTGGGTGCTCAGTATGAAGGCAGCAACTGAAGGAAGGTAACCCTGCAACCATTCCGGCTGGACTGTGCTCTTGGATGGAAGGAAGGTAACCCAGCAACACAAGTGCATTGAAGCCATATGGCTGAATTGCAGTAAGGCCACTCGACAACTGAACTCAAGCTCTCTTGGAACTGCCTGGAAACCACACCCCCCCAATCCAAACCAACCAGAGGACTATTACCCAACATCATTTTTCCTCTACTTGGTAGTTTGGATTGGCTTGACGATTTCCCACAAAACCCGAGAAGGGGGGGGTCAAATCACCAGGCTGCGGGATCTAGGCAGGTCCCAGGCGCTGGGGGCATCTCGCGGGGATCCAGGAACTTCACAGCGGTGCCGTCCACCAAACTCCGCGCCCACACAGCCCCGCCCACCGTGCCCGCCTCCGGGTCCGCACCTAAGCCGAAACCGCCTACCAAAGAGGTGGAAGATTCGGTTTTGACTTAAAACTAGAAGCCGTAACAGTCCGTGACACCGAGCAAATGCGGGCGAGGCACCAGCGATTCCTGCCAACAGCCATACCGCTTTCTTGAGGTCAAACCGCTGGTCGTGGCCCAAGGCCGTCACCTCGGAACGGTTCCGGGCTGTACTCCCCTGAGCAAAACGTCTCACCTGTATGACATAACCTGTATGACATGGACAAGTCCTTTGCTTTCAAAAGTGGTCACGCCAAAGACCAGACAAGTTCCCCAGCTGTTCGAGGCTGGCCACTGTGATTCTCAATTTGAATCTCCAATGTGTTTTTGGGCAATCTTGGCCAGCAACTTTGGCTTATTTGCCAAGTCAGTATGGAACTGGAAGTCATGTTTGGCTGTGAGGCTCCCAACGTGGCTTCATCCTGGAGTCATCTGAGCAAGGGGGAGATACCGCTTCTGGTTCGGTCTTGCAATCGCGCTGGCACCAGCAAATCTTCGCCTAACGAGATCCGCCAGTGCAGCCCAAGAATGCCAATGCCACAAACACAAACCTGAAAGGCGTTCAGGGAACGTGAGTAATGGCGAACGCAGGCGTGCCGGCAAGATCTTGAGCGTTCTCAGTATCAATAAGAGATTTCGCAGCAAGCCTGCAAAAATCCACGTCCAGCCAGCAACCCTACCAACCAAATGAGCAAGTCCCTCCTTTCAGTTCCGAGACTTGCCAAGTCGACTAGCCACTGCTTGAAGACCAACTGACACAGAACAGTGGCCTCAGAGCAACGACGGAGTGCAGCGACAGCTTTCAGTACGTTTACACAATCAAAACAGCCCAAAGAAGCGCCATCTTGTGAGAAAAGCTTCTACTCTACCTTTTTAGAGGCTCTACTTTGACACAATAACCTATTGTCAAAAACAATGACAGCCTTTGCCTTTGCTGACTAAGGCCCCCACGGACATGGCAGCGTTCTTGGAGGTCATCCCAGTCACCATACCCAAAACATGCAGCTCGCCTTGGGAATGGCAAGCCCCTTGACAGTGATGCAGTTCACAAAACAATGCAAAACATATATACTGACTCTTAGTGAATGTATGAAGCCTATACAATCTAGACCTGACGCGTCCGAAAACTGCAGGCAAACAAGCGCCTGCAACTTGTTGCAAGAGCATCTAGTAAGATGAGTGCGGGTACGAAGCACGGGTGCGATGGTTGGGTGCCTGTCTGAGGTGCTGGTACGCGTACGGGGTATGGGTGCGATGTGTAGGTGCGCACTTGTACCCTGCACCAGTACCCCCTGCATACCACGTGCCCAATGAGCGCCTGATTAGACCAAATCAGCCGCTAAATCAGGTGCAAAAAAGGTTTGTGGTTCGGGTGCGGGCCAAGGTGCGCGAATTACGGGTGCAGGGTACAGGCGCGCACCTACACATCGCACCCATACCCCGTACACGCACCGCGTACCCGCACCGCAAACACGCACCCTATCATCGCACGCGCACCTCGTACCCGCACTCGTGATGCGTTGATGCGTACCCACCCTCTGCACCCTCTGGCCGTACCTCACGAGCAGGGATAATGGAAAAGAGTGTTCTCACATCTATTGAGTCTTGAGTCTAGATAACCTGCACCAGCACCCACAATCGCACGTCCGCTAGCGCCCACTTTCCCAAATTTATTTGAAGATAGAACCCCTATAGCTTTCAGCGATCTAGGAAAATAGAGATACACAAGGGGATGCTGAAGGACATCTTGTCTAACAAACAGATCCTGCAAGATAGAAAGGATACAAAGGACAAACAAAAGACGTAAGTTCCTCCTCCAAGAGCGCGCCTACGGGTTAACCATCATTAGCTGCTCTTAGGGCGCCGCGGCTTGGCACAAACGCCAGGCTTGCTTCTTTGGCAAGTTGGAGTTGGCCCTGCACTCCGAAGTTGTTCGGTCAGCGCACGCGCAAACGATCGCTTGCCTGCACCGACCGACGGATTGCCGCTTCTGTGCCGAGTTGCCCATGCAAATTGCAGATCAACCCAAGAGTTGCGCTTCATCTGCTGCTTCTTCTCGGCAGTCGCGTTTTTGGGCACTACTGACACGCGAGATGATTACATTAACTCTTGGTGTGTGCACACCGTCTTTCCTGAAGCCCAGCTGCCGGCGTGCACGCAGCGGCGGAAGCAGTCGAACGCCCGCGCCTAGGTCTGCAGAGCCATAGCACGCCTCAACGGAGACAACCTGCAGGGTCAGTGCCTGGCCAAGCCAGGTCGTCGAGGTCAGGTCGAGTGGATGCTGGCTGGCACGCTGTCCGATCAAAGTGTCGATTTATTGTGTCTCGCTTTCTTGCAGATTCTATGCTCCAGATGCTAGCGCGCAGCCGACTTGGAACAAGGCTGGATTGCACCATCGAACAGCTCTAAGCCCTGAGCGCCCCAGCTGCGAACGTGCCCAAGCCCCAGGAAATGCTCAACCATGAAAAGCAACAGTGGCACATCAACAACTTGCTCAAGGAACGAGCACGAAACACACCAGCCCTGCAATAGGCATCAAGAAATATGACCACCTCAATCAACTGGCACAAAAAACACGCCAGCCGCGCGGACACTTGCTGAAGAAAGTCTCGCGGCACGCTCAAGCCTCGCCGAATACATCAAGCTGCCCTCTTCTTCAGTGAGCACGGGCAGAACTAATCCACAAGCGCAATTCCCAGGCAAACCCTGACAGCACAATGCGATGGCAAGGCTGAGCATTTGCTTCTGGCAAGCGAGATGCCCCCCCGCCCGTGATGGCAAAAGCCTGTTGAGTCAACATCATTTTTCCCAACGATGTCTGGCAACCCCTCGGCATAATTGGCCAGGCATAGGCTTGGCCTCAGCCTCCATGGTCAAGCTGGACCACTCTTCGCGAGGACCCCATTCAGTCCCAACCAGGTCAAGGACAGCGGCCATGCAGCGAAGCCAATACTAACCTACGCCCATGATGGGTGAAGTTGCGCCGAGCAAGGCCGCCCTGATGTTATGTCGTCTCTCTAGCTAAACTTGGGCCTTGTTGGCAACAACACGCGCTAGATGACGCAAATGAAGGTTGCGCTTCTCACGCCTCTCCGGGGAATAGAAGACTCTCAACTTTGGAAAACGCCTCGTGTCGCTCGCAAGACTAGGTAGGTCACGTCAATGTCAAGAATGGCACGCTGGCAACCCACTTCCCAACAGGAAGAGTTGTCTCTAAGGGTGCCCAGCCAAATGCAGTGCAGCCAAAGCCGCTGTTCCACCAAAGGCTCGTCGACCCACCACCGCCTGGAAAGGGCAGCTCTTCGTCCAAGGGTAAGAGGCGTTTCCACCTTAGTCGCGAAACGGTCGGGGAATTTGGTTTGGCTGCTCACACGTCATGCATGATAGGGCCTCTCGCATGCCAATCCAAGGTGGAAGGGTTGGCTAGGGGTTGAAACCTGATCCTACGAATCTTGCGTTTTCTCATCACTGGGCCTGCCAGAGTGTATGCCGCAAAAGCCCACTCCTGCAATCAGAGTTAATGCAAGATGGTATCTGTGTCTTGTGCCTGCATCCGCCTCTCATGGCTCAATCGGCATATTTTTTTCAAAAAAAAGTCTGTCACCTGATGCTGCTTGGATCATGTCAGCACATCGCACAGGCCGAAACAAATCACGGCTCACTGCTTGCCACTTCGAACACAGCAACTTCTTCACTGTCCCCCTTCCAGGCCTGGCGAATTCTGGAGGGAAGGTGGTCACGATGACTACGCGAGGCACCAGATCAGCACAGCCCAACTGCAAAAGCCACAGCAGCGTCGCAGCACGCATGGCGACTTTCGCGTGCGCGGCACTGGGCAGCTCTTTGGGTCGATATATACTGCCAACATCCCTCGGCTCAGGGATGGGTTGATTTGCTTCTCGCAGCTGCATGAACCATCCAGGTGGTAGAACCAGGGCGGCAAGTTGCATAGCATTTGTGGGCAAGAAAAAAAAAAGGACTCCGCAGCCCCACACTTGCTCTGACACGCCTTTGATGGCCGAAGCTTGCGAAGTGTCTGGGCACCAAAGCGCAACTTGATCCTTTCTTGTCTGCGCGAGGTGGCACGAACTCTGGCTGCTCAGCCTTTTGCCGAGCAATCGGCAACACCTCTGCTTAAGGGCCTCTGATGGCGGACCTTTTCGACTTGTCATAACCTGGAACAGTGAGGGGTTCAAAGATGAAGGATTTCCGCATGTTTCCGCATATCTCGAAATGGGCTCATGTTCAGATCATGTTCAGTGGGAGGGGCACTGACTTTGGTCCTTGAGAACGCGATTTGCCGGATCTGCCGAGGTGTTTCCGAAAGATGCTTCCCCTAGGAATCTAAGCATTCAAAGAGCCGAGCGACCATGGCTTGACTTGAAAGGATGCATCGTTCAGCTACCAGCAGCAGCCGTCCGCCAGAAGTTCAACTCCCACTGGATTTGCCGCACCTGGCAACTGCCAGCCAGAAGCGCCGGCAATGGAAGGCTCGCGGAATGTGGCAGGACTCAATGAAAGCACGCGACTTTTAGAAATCCTTGTGGATATCTGGTCGACCCGAGTGGCACACTGGTGCACCATGCGGGAACCAAGCAAATCACGTTCCAATTCGCGGCCCAAGCCAGGCGTGGCGACTGAGAAACACACAGACCAAGAACCAGCCTTCACACAGTTGGCCAAGTGAGACAACTCGGACCAGGTCATCTTCCACAACAAGTCAGTAAAAATCCAAATCCTGAAATTGGATATCCCCATAAAACACCGCTTTGGGGGTTAGTCCTTCGCTTTGCGGCATGGTGCCTGGGTCCGCGCATCTTCTGCGGCCTGCTGGCTGGCCCAGGAATGGCGCCTAAGAGGCAGTGGGCGGAACAAATCATTTCGGCGCTTTATCCATCCAGTGCATTGTCCCCTATTCATCTGCCTATCCATTCTCTACTAGAACCGGTATTCTCCATAAAATTTGTATGCATGGGGTTTCCATCCAAGCTGTCCATCTCTGCACACTTCAGGACCCCTCACCGTGTCCATGTCAGTGGACCAAATGCTGCACCTGGGATGAGAACCCGTCGATAACCGACTGGTGCAAAGTGAATTTGGCCCATCCACATGGGAAGTGGTACTTGCCTAACTATGGCTTGTTCGCACGCCAAGAAGGCATAGAGTCGCTGACTTGATATAAACCTGAAGGGTCCTGAAGCTGCTACTCCTCCCGGCGGGGGTAGAGGAGCAACGCATGTGCAGCTGGTTGCCAACCGGGCATGTGTCAAAATTGAACCTTTTCGCGTGCGGATGTGTAAAAGAGCCCACCGGGACCATAAAAGGGACATCCTCAAAAAGTCAAAGTAATCGTGAATTTGTGTTTTAAAAGGGGCACAATTTTGAGAGCTCCTCAAAATGTTCACTTGAATGCGCCCAGCAATAGGGAAGTGATAAGCTTGAAAAGGTCTGACTTGACACATCCCAAACTGTGCGCAGGGATCTGCTCCAGAAAGCAGGTTCCCAGTCGATCTATCAGACCAGGGGTTAACCAGGCTCTATTCAGCAAAAGGATGAACCCCAAAAGCTTTTGCATTGTCGTCTCGTTCTTTTCAACATTAAAACAGTTCAAAGCTATCAAACGAAGCCCCTCATTTAATTGCACCCCGTTCCTGTCTGTTCATTTTCATTCCGTTAAGACAGGCATGACAACAACAAACAATCACAAACGTAACAACACAAAACAACCAGTGCCAGGCCGTTACACCAGCCAAGTGGCTGAAAGTTGAAGCACTTGGTCTCCAAGCCCTGACATTGCCTGAGCATCGCTTGACCAGATTGGCAACATCTCAGTAGGGAATCAAGAAGGGTTCTGGGAATGAGCATAGGGATTCCCGTAAAGGAAACCACGAGGGTGGTCGTAAGGGTCTCTCCCCCATTCCCGAATCAGCAACACATGCTGCAGGCCAAAACATGCAAAACCTCACGCAGAACCATGCAGAACTATTGCTCGTTCCACTGCGTGCGAAAGCTGGAAACACTGATGTCTGTTTCGAGGAGGAAATCCGTGCTCAGTGCTCGGAGGCACCTCTGGTTGACCTCCAGCTTCTTACACGTCTCTTGCTACACGCCCCTCACACATGTCTGCTTCATGATTCAGGAACCCATTCCGAAGCACGGACCAAATGCATACCAAAGAACTTTTTGGTCGGAATCTCCAGCTTCTTTCTGATCATCAGCACTTGCATTGTCACTTGCATTTTGTGAGGCAACTGGTCTACAGGAGGGCTCGAGTTCACTGAAGTTGACTGTTCACACCTTCCAGCTTTTGTGCAGTTTGCTGAAGCACAGAAGGCCACAAATGCAACAGGCAAAACATCTGAGGCAGCCATGGGTAACCATTTGCCCCATGGGTAACCGTTTGAGACGCCGAGGAGCGCACATCCTCCCAAACACCATTTTCCAGAGCTTTCATCCAGTCTCTGCCTCACATACAGCGTGGCCCGGCCCATCTAAGTGCCTGGCTGCCTAAGCTGCTGATTCTCCAGTTGCAGGTGCTTTGCCTGTCGGTGAAGAACCTGGCCATTGCGGCGGATGGATGCAGGCCATGAGCCAGCCGGACAGTTACCAAACTAAGGGAACCTGTCCAAGCATTTTGAGAAGCCCCTGCTTTTGATGTATTACCACGTCACCAGCCACCAGTTCTGGTCAAGGAACATATTGAAGGCAGCGGATATATATATATATGTATATATATATGCATGTATGTATGTGTGTATGCATGCATGCATGTGTGTATGTATGTATGTATGCATGAGTGTTTAGATGCATGAATATGTATATGCATAGGTAATGGGTCTAACCAGTTCTGGTCAAGGAACATATGGCAAGCAACTGGTATACATATATTTATGTGTTTATACATATATATATATATATGTATATCTATATATATATATATATCATGGGTCTTTGAGGGCTCCGTTTTTGGGAAGCGAAACCAAATGGACAACTACCAGTTTTGGAGCCCCCAAAAACACACACCTATGCATATGCATATGCATACGTATGGTCTAAACTTTTGTCAAGGCCCACATGCCAACCAAACCATGCCGGACCAAAATCGAATAGGTCTCTGACGTGGGTTTCAAAAATACAAGGTAAAATGCCATTCAAGGCTGAAGCCGGGATAACCTGGGCGCTGCTCTTTCTTGTGGAAGGACTCAGGCGTGAGAATCTTGCCCAATCCAAAATGGGCACCGACTGCAGGGTTCCAAAGCTCTGTGGCCATTGTTTGCTGAACAACAAGTCTTACTTTATTTTGCTGGCTAGTGGGGCAACACACCTTTTTCCACAGCTAAGGTTCAACATCCAACCCAATAACAAGGATATGCTTGCTGTCCATCAACAACTCACTGCCAGCTGGAAAAGGTCTAATAGAGCGGAATGCCAATTGCTCACACAGCTCCACATCACGCCTTTCATCCAGGTCCAAGAAGGCGGGGGGATCACTTTGGTCGCAGTTTTTGGATCACTTTGGTCGCAGCTGAAATCCACTCACTTTGGTCGTAGTTTGAGCATTTGCGGATCACTTCTGTCGCAATTTTTGGATCACTTCAGGCGCAGTGGAAGATAGCTTTTTGAGCACTAACAACAGGACACACGCAAAGGGTGTTGCCTCTCAAACACCTAACAACAAGACATGCCGCGTGGGACAAGGATGTTGCCTCTCAAACACCTAACAACAAGACATGCCGGGTGGGGTGGGGTCGACAAGGATGTTGCCTCTCAAACACCATAGTCAACGGCGAAGAAACTAGGACCGAAGCGAGTAAGGAAACTAGGACCGAAGCGAGATGAAAACTAGGACCGAAGCGAGCCAGCAACTAGGACCGAAGCGAACCCGCGACCAAAACATCCAGGTCCAAGAATCCACTTAGATCGCAGGGCCGGCCATCCAAATGGGTATGTGGGTGATGTTCAAAGTGGCCAACTCGGTATCTGTTCAGGGCCTCCCTTTGCGTGGCGTGCGTCCCGACGTGTCTCCTAACATCTGCTCCGGTCCGGACTCGCCTCCGCGTTGGAGGAAAAGCTGGCACGGCTTGGCGTGGTTGGGCCTGCCCGCGACAGAGAGTTTGTGGTCCACCGTGCAATGCTCCGCCTGCACGTCGAAATACAAGGGGTCTAGTTGTGCTCAATTTCTGCTTGCATTCTGACACGACTCAAAATAAATGTGACATTACGGAAAGTATTTTCTGATTCTGTCGTGCTCAGGTGGGTTGAACTAGGAATGCACGCCTGATACAAGAAACTGGTGTGATCGAAGTGATTGACAAGGGTGAGCAACATCTTATTGTGCTGGAGGAAGCAACCAAAGCTCAAGTAAGTCCTGGTGAGAGATCTGAACACTGACGGTAAGTATTGGTTTGAGTCAAGGTGAGTGCAACACGTGCGGAAATCTTTCGAACAAGTCGCCAACCAGGGCTTGGACTGCCACTCCCTCTTGCAGCTTGTGGGATGGAGGGCACGAGCCACTGGCTTGAGGACACCACGGACATCGCCCTGCAGGGTCTATATCACCTCAAGCATATCGCCATTTTCTTTCAGGGGACGCGTTGGACATCCTGTGTTTTGAGCATTCTAGGCTGGTCCTAGGAAAGCCTGGGATTCAGTATTGAAAACATGACCCCAGGAGGATCATGCCATGGAAGCCCTAAACCTCAAAACATGATGAAAACACCTGAATGGTGTAGCATGGTTGAAGGTATTGTACATTCAGCACCTTCGGTGGGTTTGCTGGAAGCTTTCCACACGTTATGGAGCCTCTGTAGGTGGATTAGGGCGATCCATGGATCCGTGGGAGAAGAGGTTCGGGGTCCGTGACGCCGATTCCCAAATCCAAGGGCTTGATAAGTTGGTGTGGAGCTCGGTTTGGGTACCCTCCTACCAATTGACATGGAACCTGAAAGGAGGTCCCTTTAACAGAAAAATGGTCTTCCAGGACCCCCCTGTCAGGTTCCATGTTAATTGGGAGGGGCGGTGGCTACAAGCACTTTTCAACCTGCAGCTCCCTAATTCTCCAAGGGCTCTTGGGCTTCATCAGAAGGGGAGCCGATCTATCAAGTAGAAAGCTGTGAAATCCTCTGAGGCGAAAGGGGCCGGCTGCCGACGGGCCATCTTCACTCCTGCCATCGCAGCGGCTTCGCCTATTGCGCGATCATATGTTCATCAGTGATGGCGCCTACACCGCAAGCCATCAAGACATTGGCGTGCCTGTGGGCAAAAGAAGGGTAGGCCCTGCTTAAAAACACAACAACCCAACGAATTTCACCCCAGTTTGCAGGGCAAGGGCCTTCTTATATCTCTTGCCCTTTGCTGCCGTGCTTGAGCTAAGCTAAGCGATGAGTGAAGCGGTCATATGCAGCTTGCGCTCGGGGGCCGGCGACTCAGCGGCCCTTCCAGCCCTTGCCCCCTTTGCGGGGTGCTGCTGCCGGCGGTGCGGGGGCTGGTGGGCTCCTGGCGGTCAAGCTGTGCCTTGGGCACTCGGCCAGTTCTCCAATTCATGGCTTGGATCGGTTTGGAATTTTGGGAGGTGTTTGCCATCCATCCATGTTTATCCTCTACAAGAACCAAGGAAGACCCCACCACCAATCCCAATCACCAATGTACCCGACCTTAAGAATATCATACAAGCTGGTTGCAACACTAATAATACGTTAATCAACAGTACCTTGAAGATGGTTGCAGCTTTGACTCCATGTCTAGACTCCAATCCTGGAAAATAACATTGGCCTTCAAGGACTGCTCTGCGGGATGGCATCCATCCTGCTCAAGCCTTTCTTTAAAAGGGTTAACCTGGTTAAGGAATATCATGCTGACAGCCATGACCAATTTTGCTTACGCCTCATGTGTGGCCTTGGGGGACCTCGCGGGAAACAAACACGCCCATGTGGATTCATTAAGTCATCTGCGATGTGTCGCCCCCCACCCCTCTTTGGCCTTCAGAACTCTTCTTTTCAGGCTAAGCCTTTCTGGGGCTACGCCCACGTTGGATCCGCGAGCTCTCGACATTCATCGACGACTCCGCCGGTGGAGACGGAGTGGCCATGTCAAGAGTACGGCTCAATTGGGTCTGTTCTGAAGAGAAATCATGGTTGCCATTGGCCTGTTGCTGTTCACGGGCATGCTTTCACAAATGTGGGCTATTGACATGGGGCTGCTTTACGTTGCAAGGGTCCCGTAGGCAGCCTTCAAGCAGGGATACCACATCCCGAGCTTCCCCAGTCGCAAGGCCCGCAAGCCCAAACCAGGCCCAAGGAGCATGCTGCTCTGGCGCAGCATCTTCACTTCCTGCATCTGTTGTTGCAGCTGCTGGAGCTGCATTTCCAGCTCCTGGGGGTGACAAAAGCCATGTACACTTCATAATTCACCAGGAAAAGGCCAAGTGCTTGCTAGCACGTGACAGCGGGGGTGGTTTGAAAGACGCAAACGCAAACCACCAACAGAACAAAAAGAGACAACAGAGACAAACAAACGAAGACACAACCAAACAGGAAACACCTACACAAACAAACCAAACCAACATACCAACAAACAAAAAGCACAAAACACAAACAAACAAACAACAAAATCAACAAGAAAACACGCAAACTAACGGACAAGCAGGCAAACAAACACCCAAAACACAAATAAACCGATAAACAAAAACACATCCAAATTCGCCACTAAAACAAAAAAACAGACACACACACACACACGCACCCACACAGACACACACACACACACACACTCACGCACACACACACACATGCACAGGCACACATAGGCACACATAGGCACACATAGGCACACGCACACGCGCGAGAACACGCGCGCCCACACACGCGCACACACACGCACACACGCACGACGCACAGAACGACACACACACACACACGTACAAACGCACACGCACACACACACACATTTCGCATACTTGCATACATTGCATTACATTACCCTACACTACATTACATTACGATTCATCCATACAAACATACGTACATTACATACATGTTTGCACACATACATACATACATACATACATACATACTTACTTACATTACATTACATTACATTATACTATATTACATTACATTACATACATTACATACATACATACATACATGCATACTTACATTACATACATACGTACGTACGCACATACATACATACATACTTACATTACATACATACGTACGTACGTACATACATACATACATACATACATACATACATACATTACATTACATTACATTACATTACATACATACATTACATACAAACATACATACATACACACATACATTACATACATACATACATACGTACGTACGTACGTACATACATACATACATACATACATTACATACATACATACATACATACATACATACATACATACATACATACAGTACATACATTACATTACATTACATTACATTACATTACATTACATTACATTACATACATACATTACATTACATACATACATACATACATACATACATACATACATACATACATACATACATACATACATACATACATACATACATACATACATACATACATACATACATACATACATACATACATACATACAT